GTTTACACTGGATATAAAATGTGTGGATGAAGCTGTGGGTCGTGCAGCACAAGCTGCTCATGGTCCCACTGTAGGCGCAGGCGTTCTCTTTCTGGCCACAGTTACAGGCAAATCCGAAACCGGATGCCGCCAACCATATGTTTACAGTACACCCCGTCCCTACAACAGGGGCAGACAGCCCATGCTGAGGCTGATGTTGCATTCATTATGCTTCTTCACCGCAGTTGGGCTTAACCGAGTTACACTTGAACTTGGTCTTTTCATGCTGATTAAATTTTATTTCGCTTTATCTGGTTTGTTCTGCCTACCTGAAAAATTTATTAACTTGCACTCGTTGCTTACGCTTATTGGGGTTATCTTCGTTAACCTTATCGCGTTTGTGGCATTTTTGAGTAACTATTGAACACTTTGTAATTATCGCAGATTCGTTGCTAATCAACTTACTTCATATGCTAATTTAGCGAAGAGTTATTTTGGCATAACCGTATGCTTTAACAGATATATTTTATTTGATGTCATTTCAAGTGTTTGGCTGTTGTTTGATATCCCCGGTGTAGCTGCGCTTGGTGGGTATGCTGACAAGGTGCCTACCTGTCTATTACCCACTACCTCGTCCATACTGGCTCCAGGAGACAGTTGGTCGTTGCTGGAGGGGACGGGGTGCACGGTCCTTGTGGCCATGCTAGGCTCGAAGTGTGGTTCCATGCACTCGGTGTGGAGCGGACTACGGTCCAACCACCGCCTTGTGTGTGCTTGATTCCCCAAATACAGCGTGCTTGTGTTTGCCTGTAAAGGAGTGTGGGCCGGCGCCGTTGATGAAACCTGGCTCCCACCCACTTGCCTCCCGGTCTTATTCTTTCGAGTTTACACTGGATATAAGATGTGTGGATGAAGCTGTGGGTCGTGCAGCACAAGCTGCTCATGGTCCCACTGTAGGCGCAGGCTTCCTATGGCTACGCTATGGGGACAGCACTGACACGCAAATCCGGGACCGGATGTCGCCAACCGTATATATCAACACAAGCAATACTTTTTGGGACTAAGAACCTTACTTGAGTATATAGGGGATCAGAAGTCCATACAAAGGCATAGCCCCTGTTCATAAGTTTCGATACACGAGGATCATAATTTTGATTTAGAACACAAAGAGTCTAGCACATGGGAATACGAAAGAAAGAAATCAGTAGTACGCCGGTACGATGTACCGACGCTTCGCTGCCTCGCAGTCACCACCGGTCGCACGTGGGCTAACATACTGCGAGGATCACCCTGTCCCTACGAAGGGTCGAACCGGCGCCGCCAGATTACAAGACGGGTTTGTTTCCTATAGACTACGGGCCGGGGAATACGAAGAAACCAAGAGAATTCTTATGAGCATGGCATTCTACTAACAGTTCAATCAATCGACACGTTGCATTGGACGCCATCTACGCAAATCTACTAGCAAATCATTACCACCGCAGTCGAATGACCTTAATAGAAATAGACACCATACAAGCAGCTGGGGCAACCTTTTCACGATTTTCACGAGGCATGAGTCGAAGAGGCCATTTCCATTGGTCACGTGTCCATGCGACAGATGACGATGACATGTAAAAACGCACGCGCGTGATTACCCGCCTCACACTTACGCATCACCTCGCTCCGCTACATGCTAACGCACTGATGATGTCACTTCGACTGGTGACGAAACCTTTGCAACAAAATTGCTAGACTCAGCGAACAGTTCGTCTAACAAAAGTTCAACGCAGCTCGTCACCTATGGTCCGCGCATCGAGGTGCGGCGGACAAATCTTAAACGTCGCAGCAGAAACACGCAGCCCCTTCCGTATATGCGCTCCGACAGGTCCCTTCCGCGTCAGGTACTGTGTCGCGCCAACGGATCCGTGGAATGCAACTAGCAGTTTCCATTGGTTTGTTCCAAATATCAAATTCTTTTTTGTATAGCGTACACGTCTCATCGCCACATAAAAGAGTTTATAGCACCATTCCTTTGTTTATCGTCAACCTGATCTCAGCGGTCATTTGATGTTTCTTCCATAATTAATGTCCCAGTCTGCCGAAAGTCACATTTACCTTCGCTACGCGTGCGCGCAGCTTGCTACTTGTCCGCAGGTCTGTTGACAGCATGCTCCCGAAGTAGCAAAGTTTGTTTGGGTTTTGAAAGCTTCCTTTACATTCTTGATTTGCGGGCGGTGCTTATACTCCACTCTGATTCCTTATTAATATGTCTGACGAAATCACAGCTTGCATTTTGCTGATGGCGTAACTTGCTGTTAAAGACTTAGTACCTTAGAAACCGAACGGTGGAAGAGAACGCGGGCGACGGGATTGTGAGTAGTTGCTACACAGACAACCAATGCTGAGAGGAGAGCTTCATTAGAGGTTTACCATTGCTAGCTTTTTGATCGGCGATCTGATTCGGAATTCGGTGGAAAAATTGGAAGTTCCATTGAGGTCCGCCACTCTAAGTCTAACCTACTGGACAATTTCCGATCTGTGTCAGCTCCGGATTGAAACAATAGAGTATCATGCATTGCCTGTACTAACCATTAAACGCATCCTTAGGGATTCTGGGACAGCTGAAACCTTCCCTTTCTATTATACCGGTCAACCGGAACCGGTTCTGGTCATTTTTGTGTCTCACATGCCGGGCCTGCTAGCCTTCAGAGTGTGAGTAAACCAATGTACAGATCGTCCAGTCTGACGTTCGGAATTTGTGCGGTAGCATTTTCTGTGCAATCGGCACGTCTCGTGCACTTTTACCAGCTCCCTCGTTATCAGACTTATGAGACACTTTGATTGGGAACCGTGATCCTTTTCCCTCCTAGGATTTCATGTCCCGGCAATACTTCAGTCCACCTCCAGCCATGAAAAACATCAAAAACTACAATTTCATGTCGTATCAGACTGTGTTGACGGACTTCGTGTGTCGAAATGCGCTTTCACGGATTCACCTATTTGTTTGTACTCATTTGAGAAAATGGCATCATTAGCATCATTCTTGACCTGAGCCTGTGATTCAGTACTACAAGCGACGCAAATGATGTCTGTCAATCTTAGAACGATAAGAGAATCTGGGTTATTAACTGACGCGTTTTGCTCTCCAGTCTGACCTAGCTCAATGACCTTTGATTTTGTCGAATGTAGTTGTTTGTTTAATGGACACTTTAAACAAAGACAGCGGCAGTACTTCCGGAAAGCAAGATCTGCTACAAACTTACTATGAGCCACCTGGCTTGATGCAGCCAGTAGTTCATCACGATTAGAGACAGCTTCTGACACGCATGCTCTACGCTATACTGTATTTGGACTTTCGATACTACACTGTTGTCACTTGTCACTGTTCTCTGCTTTAAAATGAGAGCCATCTTCATTTACCCACTTTTATGTTATAGACGTTGAGACTGAGTTCGCATGAACCCTCATGACACAACCGCCGTGTTTCTCACCTTAACTTTTCGTGTATTGTGAATGCGTGTTCCCGATCACTGTCCTGTCCGCTGTTATTGGCACTCAAAGCATCCTATGGGAAACTTGATGTCGGAATTAATTTATCCGACTCTTGTTAAGTGACGTCAGCACAGCTCAATGAATCACGGAGGCACGCAGACCACCAAAGGAATCTGAAATCCGCTCATATCACGCTGGTCATCATCAAGCCTTTCGGAGACTTCAATACCAATGACCATTAATGTGGTCATGCAGTTACTAGGGTATTTGCGTGCTATGGTTTCATACGCAAATGTCAACTAATAGTGTGGCATCTTACCACACCACTGGTCTTCCGATATTGCGCTTGTATCCGACGCACTAGACCCATCCGTCGAATACTTGGTGGCATGCATTGCTTGCTCTGAACAACCGACAAGCGGCTCCCAAGTGATCACTATTTATGGATTCGTCGCATTTCTCCATCAGCACGTAACTTGGACCACTGAAACATTTTAAAATCATTTAATGCTATTTTGTGCTTCATAAAAGATTCGGTATGCAAACTAACCAATTCAACACGTAACATCCTTTATGTGTTGCACACTCTATACCATCGCTTGAACCGCGCGAGCAGAAGTTACCTTACTTTATCACTGTGTAAATGCACATTACACGTTGCTATGATGTGATATTATCTCTATTGACCCCTTTATGTGTTGCACACTCTATACCATCGCCTGAACCGCGCGAGCAGAAGTTACCTTACTTTATCACTGTGTAAATGCACATTACACGTTGCTATGATATGATATTATCTCTATTGACCCCTTATGCTCTTCCCTGTCGCTATTTCTTGACTACTGCATATAATCGTTTTGGGCTTCTTCGACTTTTTCCATCTTCTAACAGCTCTGTTTCCGTGTTCTCTCGGTCTGAATGTTTGTATTGAAGTTACACTAACATCCCTATTCATTACTCTCTTTTCTTTTTTACCTCTAGGAGTAGTATAGCTGAATTAGATGACGAACAACTTTTGTTTGTTTTTTGTTGCCCTTTATCTCGAATCCTTTCATTAATGTCAAGTGATTACTCGCTTATATTCTTTTGACTATCCTCTCAATACTGTATTTTACCGTCGTTGACCGGCTATAGGGTCACTGGCCACTCACTTCTGTACCCAGAGGCGAGTACCTTTCGGATGGCGGATGATCAACTTGCTGGTCACCGACTTCTGTGTGGACTACAACCGAATACAAAGAAAGCGAATGAACCACCTGGTTGTCAACGGTCTTCGTATTCAGAAACCGTGAATCGCCCTGCTGCCTTGCGGGTCTGGTCTTCAAGACCAAAGGCTCGAGGTGGGGTCCATTAAGGTCAACCCTCTTCCTCGGCCTGGGCAACCCGGAATCTCGCTGCCCACGCAACACATGAACCCTCATGACCTTTTCGCTGACAGCGTCTTTTCCTCCTTTTTTAATCATGGGCTGTGGCGCTCTGCCAATTGTTTATTGCTCAAATGTTAACTACAAAATATTAACACATTTCACCGTCATTTATCCTTTCAGCACCATTGCCGGAATTGTGGGAACAGCTTCTGTGCCGAATGCTCTTCGGAACGTGCTGTCCTTCCCAAGTTTGGTATCGAGAAAGAAGTCCGCGTGTGCGATCACTGTTTTCAACAGCTCATTCGGTAATTTTGTTACGGTTGCTCTCCTTTTTCTCTCATAATAGTACCGCAGTACCCATATGCAACACTATTTTTAACAGCCGCGTCCATTGATAGGAATTGTCCTACGTTTGTTCATTGGACTTTTCTTCTTATGGGTCGATTTACGCTTTCCAACCCTCATCGATCTTCTGTTTGCAGGATACGGGGATTTCCCAGCCATCTGATGATCAACACATGCACATGCCTAAATATTGGCTTACTACTTTTAATTGGTGGATGGTCTTTATTGATCTAGTGTCTCTGTAAAGGTGCAGTACTGACTGTACGCCGCTTCTTATCAATCCTGCCATCAGAACCATATTGTCTCCAGGTGTCTCCATCTCAGTACGTCCGATACTTTCCAACGGACAGACGCTATTATTCGCCCGTTTTTTTACTATAAAACGGCCCGCTCGCGACGGCAGGTTTCCTACCGCATACTGCTCCCCAATACAGGGCCTCTTCGTATTTAGGCGGTGCAGGCCGTACCATGTCCGGTTAGTTTTTGAGGCTCCATCGGAGACTGGGTTTCAAACCAACTCCTAGTCAATTTCGTGATACTGATTTTTTTCTGTAAATGCTCTATTTAAGGATGATGGGGATGTTATATGCAAAGCATCAATTCTCCTGTTAGTAGAGGTATGGAACTAGGAAACCATCCTAGTTAAAAAAAAGATTAAATCGATCACAGTGACTGTACGAGAAGTGCAGTTGCATCGAACACGCTAACCACGGATTTTTCAGCCTGACGCCCGTAATATTAAAGCTATTGACTTCAGTTCTCTTCCGTGGAACGTAAATCTCGAGTGGTAGAAGATCAGACCGATATCTGGTCAAGGCTGCATTGTGCGGACGACATTTTCACTCTGTGCTTGACGCTACGGCTGTGTTATATGCATACCACAGATCGACTATTTCCATATTCATCAAAGTTGAGAGTGCATTCTGCTCAGTTGTTCGTTCTGGTATTTCTGATGAACTTTCTCGGAAATTTTGCATGTACTTCACGCGAACACAGCTGATTACATCAGAATCCACACCGAATTGTCTGCCGACCTTCGGACAACAAGTGTTGCTCACCATCTTTGTCCCTATTTTCACATTTGTTCAACTTTGTCGTCACCTTCCCACGGAATGTTTCCTTGCGGAATCTCACCACGTAGGTTGATTTGGATTATCTGAGTAATATCGTCTTACCATTGGACAATCATGAAACTGTTGTGTCTACCCTAGTTAAGCCTTTTGGAGCAGTCCCAACATTTGACATGCTTCTCATACCTTCGAAACGCAAAGTTTTGTTGCAGAACCACCAGCTGTTTGGGTACCCGTTGACCCTTCATGACGAGGAGTTTGGATTGTTGCTCAATTCATCTATTTTAGTATCTACATCAGTAGCGGTGGGCACATGATTGCTAAATTGCTTCATGTATTGCGAACGGTAGAGCTGCATTCTGGAGTCTGTGATTCTTCTGGCTTCGGAACGGGATTCTCCTGGTCTGGAATACCACGTATACAAGGCCATAATGTAGTCCATCCATCATTGTGACAGTGAGACTTGCACCTACGGTCCGAGACGTTATTCAGCTCTTTGCTTATCATTACTTACGGGGCATTTCTGTGTTGGATAACACTAGCTTGTCCACAGCGCTGATGTGCCATGCAAATAGTAGGTAGGGCAGTTAGGTTAGTTCGTTAGCACAACAAGTAGTAGTGAATAAGTTGCATTACCTTTTGCACTTATACGTATGTCTAATCATCAGCATCGCCAACAGCAGTACATCAACTATTTGGACTAAGGCCGTACAACCACGGTGACCGACGGAACGAAGAACAATAAGAGGGAGATAAGGGGGACTTACGGTAGAACCTCAATGCCCTATACAAACACTCAGGGTCAAGGTGCCTATATCTTGTCAACAACATACCATCACCAACAGCTGGATATCGTGCAAACGTAAGGCGACATCGGCGAGATAGCTTTCTTGCGGCTTCCTCTGCCCCGCTTCTTAATCAGCCATTGCATCGCAGATAACTCAGCACCAAACACACTTTAAGCAGGCAGTACGACTAGAAGACGGCAGCAGACGCGCCACTGGTGCCGACTGCGAGCCAAATCCTGTAACGTCACAAGCCAAGCACAAGACGAGTCACATGGACTCCAGCCTGGAAGACGAGACGGACCGATGGCGCCGAGTTGGGTCATCAGTGACTTCATTTCCCCCTGCCATGTTAATTTTTGCCGACCTCGGGCTTTGCGCCACCCTGCGTGTGGCAAACAATACAAGGCCATCCTCAGTAAGCGGTGACCAGACATTCGTAGTACGTGCCCAAGCCAACGCAACTTGTTCAGTGCTACCTGTTGTTCTAAGCAAGTAACTTGCTTCTCACTGCCTAATATTCGCTTACGCACATCGTCGTTGCAGACATGCTGGTGTCAGCCGGCATCAGCAATGCTTCGCAGACAACGAGGATCAAAGATTTGAAGGCGCCTCAGCTCCTCAGATTGGAAGGGCCAAGTCTCGCTCCCATATAGTAAGACGGCCCTCACCGTGAACTTGTATACACGACCTTTTAGACCGAGGGAAACTCCTTTCTGACGCCAAAGATGTCGCAGGTTCAAGAAGGCAGTTCTAACTTTTGCAATGCATGAACTGACTTCCGTTTCTATGCTCTCCCCGTTGCTGATACAGCTGCCAAGGTAGATGAAGTGATCAACTACTTCGAGTTCCTCTCCATCAAGTATCAAGAGATCATCAAGTGGCTAGTGGTCCTGTTGCAGCACTGCGCTTTGAAGGTGCGAAGCGCATGCCAAACTATAGGACCACTCTATAGAGGTTATTCACCGCCTCAACATCGTTGAAAAGCATGATAATATCGTCTGCGTTATCAAGATCAACTAGCCTTTCACGAAGCTGCGCCTCAACGCCTGCATCTTGAGATTCCGCAATGGAACACTCCGTACTGGAGTCTACGACGAAGTTGAACAAAACTAGGGAAATTAGGCAACACTGGCGAACGCCACTTATTGTCGAAAAGATATCCGACAGGTCACCGTGGGCCCTGACGCGGCATGTAGTGTTCGAGTGTAGAGCACGTAAAATGTTCACATATTTCCTGGTAACACCTTTCCGCACAAGTATTCCGAACAGAAAGCATCGGTCGGTTGAATCGAACACGCTCTTGATGTCGGCCTGCGAAACATTTGGTGATGCTGTAACGTCTGCCGCAGAGTGTATATGTGGTCAATACAGCCCCGTCCAAGGCGGAATCCTGCCTGCTCTTACATAATCCGTGATTCTCGCTCCGCAGTGAGGCGATGAATGCGAATCAAGGCCAGTAATTTTGTCACAACCGGCGTTAGGTGAATGCCTATGTGGTTAGCACAGTCGGTGCGCCTGCCCTCCTTGTACATCGCCACTATACTTGATTCACTCCAGTTAGCTGGGATGGCCTCTGCCTTCTAGACATGTTCGAACAGGGTGGTCAGTGCTTTGCAGAAGACCTCACCACCATCCTTAAATAGTGCGGGTGCGAGGGAATCTGGGCCAGCAGCACGAAAACGATTGAGGGCTGTGATCGCGTTTCCGACCTCTCAGCCTCCGGCGGTGTCACTAAACTAACTGGTCATGGCTCAGTCTACAACACCTGAATAGGAAGCGGTCCATAAGCATTGGACCAACTAAACCGATCTTGAAAGTGTTTCGCCCAACGAGCCACACGGCATGCCAAATCGGCGCTAACCAACAACAGCCTTTTTCTTTCGCCGGATGTACAAGATTCGACAAAGCAAGTTAATTTGGCAGCATGAAATAGTTACAGACCATCAAACTGTGTGGTGTTGGTCCGTCTAACCTTTCATGCTGGAGTCTACACGGACCATCCTATGCTAGGTTTGAGACTATACAGGACATGAGTCGCATCCGACACCATTGGCGCTTTTGGTATCTCTTCCTAGCCGGACTTTCCGTTTAACTTCTGTCTGGTCCTGAGCTCTGTGTGATAAGATTATTACGACGTAGAGCAGCGAAAGTCGCAACGAAGCTGTCTCAGATACCGCCTTATCGTCGCATAGTAGTTAACTGTTTGTCACCAGAGGTTGTTGACAAGGTGTGGGTGCCTTACTTCTAACCGCTTGTGTGTGGTATGTAAATTTAATACTAAGTCTCCCTTCTTCTGTTACTATTTTTCATTCCCTTGATCATTCTGAATGTACGGCGTTGAAGCATGAGTTCAAACTAAATATGTACTGCTGTTGCCTATTGTGATGATGCCGAGCAAAGCCCGACTCATGCACAACCGTTTCTTGATAGTCCGACACTAGGTGCAGTTGCAGAACTGAGCCTGCGCATCCCCGGTTACCACAGTTACCAAACGATCATTTGAAGTGATCGATCCCTTTATCTTTCTAAGTTGTTGCGTCTGTTCAGGTGACCTCTTCATTGAGGAATTTACTGCCCGTCTCAGTACAGCACGTGTGGCTTTTTAACGCCTCTGTCATTTATGAACACGGTGAGCTATGAGATTATTGGTTAACGTACAACAGCACTACTAATGGTGTTTTTCCGTGCATTAGGTTCATAATCACTGCGAGGATAGGACCTTGTGTAGCTAGCTTACTATATTGTCTTATCTAATTGTTTACTAGCAAGCCGATCTCTTTGATACACGCTATGTCAACATTTTCTTTCATTTTTTTTCCATACAGCGGGCCATCGCAAGAGAATTTACCAACCGAGAAACAGCTCCCACCGGTTCGTGATGTAAAGGTTAGTTAACAACGGTCTACCTCATTTCCTGCAGTATCCCGTATTTATCACCGACACCCTCATTGTTGCCAGTTACTGTTGTCCATGACCGGTGTTAACGGCTGATTCATGTATTTTATTACCTAAGCCTTGGTTGCCTAAGTTTCCCTCGCCCATTAGGGAAACATTGTCGGTGCTTCGGCCATGTTTGTGCGCACGAACCCTTGTTTTTCCCAATCTATTTTCCCACTCCTACCTTTCCTACACACACAGTGGGGTTTTTTGTTCTACACCAATCCAATCTTCCATCATTCTCCCGGTCATTTTAAAGATTCATCTACCACTGCGCATATTGCACATGGTATTCGCATAACATCTGACGTCGCTTCATCTTAGTTCAACCAGGAAAAACCTTCTTTCTCATCGCATCAGCTATTTCCCATCCGACTCTAATGACTACTACTTAGTGAATGTATGCTGTATGCACAAAAGCGTGAAGAACGTTTGCTCGCTGCTTAATTTTAAATCACTCAGGTGAATAGCTTGCGACGCGCAATCTCGACTGGAGAATGAACCTTTGTCAATTCGATCACTCGGACCATAAAGTGGTAGAGGTCCCAACTAACTTCCCAATGGTCCCGGGTTCGATGCTTGTTATCTCTGCTCGATGAGATCAAATATTGTTCCAAACCGGTCTTGGAGTGTAATAATAATCTAATGTGTCAGCTATACTCCGTAACGGCGCTTCGCTGCCGCGCGACCACCACCAGTCGCGGGCGGGCTGAGTATACCGCGAGGACGCCCACCCCGTACGCGGATTCGAACCGGTGACCTTATGGTTGCAAACCAAACGCGCAGACCACTCGGCCACCGGCCGAGTGTGGTGTTTTCGGGCGGGCGACATCCAATATGCTCATTTACCTCACAAAGAACGTACTTAAGATCTTGGAAGATACTTGCGACAGATCGAGAAGTCATGCGTTCTGGAAGGAAACAACAGCAACCACTTGTTTCCTGACCTCTCTGAACTTAAGGTTAAAGCGTTTGGGACAGCATAGCCCAACTAATAATTGAGAGGGGTTTTATTTGCTCAGTCTGTTTTAGCAAACGCGAGTTAGACTTTGCTCCTCTCAAACGTCTGCTACTTAATACAAACGCTGGCGTTCTCTTCTCACCTACTCGACCGGAATAGGTAGCTTAGGTGTGCAAACGGTGCTACACACAATTGCCAATCCATTCGATCGGGTCGACTGACGCAGTGTGTACTGTGCCACGTGAAAATCTTTAACTTCGTAGCCAGCCTCTTGCTCCGATTGTTTATTGATTCAGTTTTACCCCGAGTACCACGTTTCGGTGAATTCATGCGCATTTCATCTCCTTGCTTTTTTATTCTTCCGATGTTCTCTAATTCTAGTGATAAGCGTTCGTATGCATCGAAATTCGGTACCTCTATGTTAGATCGATAGTTGAATCGAAGTATCTGCCAACAGACTTGCGCATACGTACATGACAAGGGCTTATGCAATCACTCACTACTTGCTCATTTCCAACTTCAGTAACTGCCTCGCCGTTATCAGATTGTTTCTGAGTAACTTGGGACTCCACTTTGGTCCAGCCTGACCTACTTTAATAGATTCACTTTGTCCCCTATTAATTGAATGCAGTTTGATCCACCTAGTCCCCGTGACCTGCGTTTACCATCTTCAATTCAGTTCAGTTAAACAATTCTGACCCAGATCTAGTTGCCACTTCTTACATCGTCGGATTGTCAACAAATATCGGCAATAAGAAAGCGAGGCTGGACGCAAAGAAATTACAATCAAAACTGTAGTGCATAAAACGAATAGGGACAGGATGGAAATTAACAACAAGCAACCGAACGTGGGAACACCATTAACTGTGCCATGTCCGCTAGAGTCCCCAAACGCTGATGTGGACCATCCTGAGGCTTCCTCCCATGAAGACGGCATGCACCAGCCTGACCAAGTCTCTCAGTCAGTGTCATCTTGCGTTTATGCCACTTCTTGAATTGGCCACCTCGCGGTTTCGCCCAACTTGGTGTAATCGCGGTGTATAATGCAAGCCGAGGAAACCGGTCAACGGGCATCCGGTGGACATGGCGTAACCAACACAAGCGATTACTTTTCCGCAAACGGCGGAGTGAGGCACCAGAAGGCTTCTTATCGGAAACCAACTGGCAGACCTTAGCATTGCTCACCCGGTGTTCCTATCAGACATGAGCAATACTCCGCAAGCACCGGTAGTCAAACACAGCCAAGCGTTTGATATCTTCGAACTGCACAGGTCTCTGATCTATACAGTAGTACGGTTTTATCGCAGCATTGGATGCTTTATTCTTTACTAATAGGCTTATGTTTCGCCGTCTGGATAGGTGGTTGAGTTTCCGGGAAGCCACGCAGGCCTTGTTGATAGGTGAATTAACTTTCCCAATGATGTGACCAACATAAGTGACACAGCTATCAAGGTACGTGAACCGATCCACTGCTTCTAGTGGCTGTTTGCTGATAGCTAAAGCTGGTGGTTTATCAGTTTAATCCTGCAACAATATCTTGTGCTTTGGAGGTGCAAAACACATGCCGAAGCGTGCAGCGCTACGCGTCAGTCTATTCAACAACGCTAGTATAACCTCTGCGTCAAACCCAAGTGGAATTATGTCGTTCGCATACTTAAGGACTGTCAGTCGTTCATCTGATGGAACATACTTCCGATGAGACGAGAAAAAGGAATATAGGGCAGTCCTAGCGAACCCCACTTGTCGTAAGAAACTGAGCAAACCGCTTCCCGTAGACCCTTATCCGGCCTCGAGAATCACGGTAATGTTTCCAGGCTAAAAATCGTTTTTTGGTACTACCTCAACGAGTAGGCAGTGCCACAAGCTGACACAATCACAAGACTCGACGGCGGCTTTTAATTCGAGGAGAATTACCATGGTCAGTCGTCTGTGTGTGCTCCAATACTTGATGAAGAATACATATATGGTCTATGTGGCCATAATCAGAGCGAGAGCCAGCGTGGCTCACATTGATCAAGCTTTCAAGTGCATGAGTACGTCCTCGAATCTTGATACTCGTGAAGGGGTTGGAGGAGACACAAATAAAGCTAATGTCTCGATGATTTTCGCACAAAGTCCGTTGACCGTTTTTGAAGATGGGAGCGACAGTTGACAGTCGTCATACATAAGTCACATTTTTAGTGTCCCCACTTCGTGTTGGATAGAGCAACAAGTCTAGTCCACAGAGCCACCTCCATCTTTCGGCAAAGATAGAGGAAGTTCGTCAGTTCCGGGATCCTTGGTTCGTTTCCATACGAAAGCTCATGTCGAATTTCCTCTGAAGTGGAAGACTCAGGTAATTTGGCCAACAACAGTGTTGCAGTAGACCTGCTGAACTGCTTTTAAAGGTGTTCTGCCTAACGACTGATCGACGAAGTTTATTAACCATTCATTCTACATGTTAGCTAGAGGTGGGAAATACCTCAGCTACTGTGCCACATTACCTAAGGGAGAAAAGCAAATATAATGCAACAGGTGCAAGTCAGCTGAGCTACCGGTAGCGGATGGCCATCGTTCCGGTAAACTACCTGCCGGCTACTATGCAGCAAAAAAATTACTATGCAAAATTATCTTAGGGTAAATAGTGAGATCGTGGTTGGAGGGGGGCTAAGAGGGATGAGGTGAAATAAAGAAACTCACAGCATGAACGCCACTGAGGTCGGCTCCTAGCCATATCAACAAGTGTATCCAGCCAAACGTGTTCATCGTCTTTAGGACCCCAACCAGGGAGCCGAGACGCTCCAACCGAGGCCAGCTCAGAAGTGAGGGCCTTCATTCGTCTCGACCAAGTCATCGCGTGGCCAGCCCTTCTCTTCTTCCATCCACACCCCCGGCGCGCAAACAACGCACGTCGCGGGAGTCTGTGGACAGGCATGCGTAACACGTGGCCGGGCCATCGGAGCCTGGTGCGTGAAATAACGGTGCTAAGCGGTTCATTTCCTTTTCCTGTGCCGTAAACAAGGCGTCGAACACGCTCGTTGCTCACGCGGTGTTCTCACCAGATGTGAGCTAAATTGCGAAGGCACCGGTGTTCGAACGTAACTAGCCTCTTCAGGTCCGCTGCTTTAAGCGGCCAGGTTTCACAGCCGTACAGTAGTGTCGAACGTACCGCTGCATTGTACACTCTACCCTTCAGGGCAAGAGTGATGTCCCGCGGGCGCCATAAGTGGCGAATGTTAGCAAAAGCGCCTCGAGCTTTTGCTATACGCTTCGTGATATCATCTTCAATCGTACGGGCGCTGATACAACTCTCCAGATTGTTGAATTTTTGGACGACTTCTAGCTGATCCCCACCAAGGATCAGCGCAGGAGGCGGTCCAGGCTAATCTTAGAGGAACTCTTTGCATTTTGAGGGTGCGAAGCAGGGCCCGAAGTGACGAACAGCCAGTGCTAATCTGTCCAATGTCGCTTGGCACGTTTGTGAGCTGTCACAGATTAGGGCAATATCATCAGCATATTCTAAGTCAAGAACTCGTTCTCCTGGGGGAAGGTCCACACCTTCTAAGTCGTGTCCTGTGAACGCGATTTCCATGCTTTCAACAAAAGCGGTTATAGCGGAAAGCTGACAGCGGGCATCCTTGTCTCACACCGCTGGAGATATTAAAGGGCTACGACAGCTTGTCCTAAGACCTCACTCTGCCCGAGCTACTCGCGTATAATGCTCGGATAATATTTACATATTTCTCGGGTACACCTTTCTTGAGTAGACAGTCCCAATGTGCACGTTTATCCACCGGATCGAATGCACCTTGGATATCGAGGAACACGACAACGGTGGGTCGCCAATATATGTGACGGTGCTCCAACAAGTGACGCAAAGTGAAGATGTGGTCAATGCAGCCATGACCTCGACGAAACCCGACTTGCTCTTCACGAATATGACTTTCACGAGTGCCTTTATTAACCGTTGTCTCACTACATGATGCTTTTCTTTCGGATGCATTCCAAATACTTAGAGCAGTACTCGGCTGTTCCCAATAACATCGACTTTCTCCATCTCACACTCTTGGCACCTGCCATCTTCCCCCGTCAGTTCGAATTCACCTTATTAGGTTTCAGGGCGCTGCGGACACGCTGAGACTCAGCGCTCATTGGAACCTGTTTGCGTGCTCCAATCAAGCTGATCTAAGCTCCATAAGCCCTTACATAATTCGGACGTCTTAAGTTGAATAACGGAAAAGCGCAAACCATTTGCACTACGTTGAGGTCTAATGAAAATTGTCTTGATAACAATGATAGTCATAATAGCGTTGATAAAGACGTTACAGAGTACGTGATGTTTGAGAACTTAGACAAACTAGCTGCAACTCAAATGAAGGCAATGAGGGAAAACTAGAACGTTCATTAGATTGGTCTGCTCACAGCTGGAGGCATGCCACCGATTTGATATCCCTGCCAGTTTCGCGGTTGCACAATTGTCGTGACCCGTCCGGTGAACTTGATCCAGTCAGCCATCATGCACTAGCCTGAATGAGCTTTCCGTTTCGTACTTTCACAATGCCATAAGCTGGAGCATAGTCCAACGAGCTAAGAATGTAGTCGAGGATGGGACTGTAGAGCCTCTTAATTATGGCGTTCTATTGGCCGATAGTGCAGTACACAGCCCCGCTTATTATAAAAATGTTCTTTTTTGCTTACCAAACACATGTTTGGCTATGTGGTGAAGAGACGGAACTTTATCCACATACCGTTGCGATGTTCCGATGTGAAACGCTCTATGATTAACGTTTTTCAAAATGCTTCTAACATGGTCATAGGATTAGTACTTCGCACAACGCCACCACTAACATAGGTATGGTTCCTTTGAGATGCATACGACCTTTCCGCGTAGGGGTGGGCGTCCTCGCGGTATACTCAGCCCGCGCGCGACTAGTGGTGGTCGCGCGGCAGCGAAGCGTCGTTACGGCGTATAAGCTGACACATTTCATTTCATTTCATTTCATTCATTTCCTTGAACACCTCCAAAGCAATTGTCTACCAGTTTATTCGCCGTGCGGTGGCTGAGTTGATACACTCTCTCGGTACATTTATGCCGCTAGTCGTTCTGAAGAATTGCATCTTCTGTCAATGATGAACCCATTTGATCATTTTGCTTTGACTTGCACTCGTCTCTTCGTAGGCCCCACAGGAGAAGGAGCTTTCGGATCGCGAACTAGAAACACGTGAGGCCGAAGAGCTGGAGTTGGCATTGGCTCTTAGTGCAAGCGAGGCAGAGTGCAAGGCGCGCGAGGTAATCTAATTGTTCTTTTAACCTTCCTACGGTGCCATGTGCATATGGTGTCTACCTTTTATGCAGCACGTTTTACTTCGCCTTTTTCACATTCATAACCCGGGCGGTTTGAGCGCAACTAGGGAGTTGGGGTGCTTGACTCGCGCATATCCGCATCTAAGTAAATAAACGTATATTTCTCGACTATGCTGTCAGTCGTTTCGGGCTACCTTTTACACCCTGGAAATGCAAAGTCCTCGTGCAGAATTGGCAGGGACCCATCCCTTCGATGACCCTTAGAGGTGATCAGTCATAAGTCGTCCAGAAATTCAAGTACTTTGGCATCTATGTCTGTGGAACAGATGAGATCACAAACCGTACAACAAAAGCCCGAGGTGCTTTTGCCAATCTCCTCCATCTGTGACGCCTACGCGACTTCACTCGCTCTGAAAAGTTGAGTTTCTAATGCAGTCGTCCGTTCAACTCTCCTGCAAGATTGCGGAACCTGGCCCATCAAGTCGGTAGACATGAAGAGTCTAGCTATGTTCGACCAACGATAGTAATGAAGTCCCTCACTTCGAACATGGCGTCGTTTGGCGTCTCCCGACTGCTACGCTGGGGTCCCAGGGACGATGAACAAATTTGGCTGGATATACTAGTCGACATAGCCAAGAGCCGACCTTCATGGCGTTCGTGTTTTTTGAGTTCCTTTCTCCCTCCCCATTTTGCTTAGTTTCCCTTGTCCAACAACGATTTTACACTGTATGGCTGATATTAACACTTGGCAAAGTATTACTTTATATATATATATAATCTTTTGTATTGCGGCACAATTATCTGAAGTGTGTTTCTGACCTACTGTTTACTGATGATGACTTATCGACTACGCAGAAAACTGATTACGCAAGAAGTCGGATCATTACGTGTTTGAATTTCATGCTCATATCTCAATACACTCCCAGTAATAGAGGTTATGTGCTCCATGATTCCGACAGGCATATCAGGCAAAAGACCATGCATTTTTACACCGTTGTTTCAATTATCTACAGCGTTTGTTGAATTCTGACCTCTTGGCTTGTCTCTTCGCCTGCGGTTGTTCTACGGCATAACTTTGCACGGTTTCTATGCTCCTATCCAGTCGCTACTCACATATCTGCGTCACCTTTTGGTCACTCGCATTCATCATAAGTCGTCTCCCAATTGTTTAGTCTATGTTGCCTACTCATACAAGTTGTCAGGACTGGACATGTTGTAAAGAACCGATCAAGTTCCTCTAATTTTACTGCTTAGCTTCTGTGCCGTCTTCCACCTGTTACTAGCGCTCTTCTTGCTCATCTTATCGTCTCAGCGTTGTCGCCTCGTTGAGGTTCCGCAAAAACCACAGGAAAATGGGGAGCGTAACACCGGCGGACCACTACAACTTCTGCCTGTTCTAGACACTAGTGAAATGGATCCGGAATTGGCGCGCTATCTTAACCGCCATTACTGGGAGAATCGGGCTGCCGGTATCAGTGGGGCCAAGGAGAGTGCCAAACAAGAGCTTCTGCGAAGTTCACCGACACCTCAACCAAGTGCACCACTTTACACTTCCCCTGAGCCTCCGGTTGCTCCGTCTCCGGCTATGGTCCCTGTCAATGGTTTTCCAACAACGTCTGACTATTTACTGGTGAGTGTTTTTTGACTATGTCGAAATCTCTCTCTTGTGCTGAGGCGAACCAACAGAGCTCATGGAGTAGTCTTTCTAGCTGTTATGCGTGGTAAGTTAAATTGGAGTCAGAGATGCATTTGATTGTATCAACGCTCCGACTTTTGCTCCAACAGTATCCTAACCGCGGATATTTCAACATGGCTCCCCTAATCTGTTACTTAAAATGATCGTCGAGGTGGCACCTCACCTCATATCCGGACAGTGCCCGACACATGGTGGTGTAATGGCAGAGTACGGCACCCAAACGAATTCACCCATGTTTTCGGTTCCGTACTCCACGCTATGTTTATGGCATCTGTCGTGTCCAAATCTCGTTGTTTATGATTTGATATAGTTCCCCATTTATCCATCCGCACCGTAGATCCCACGACATGAGTGCGTGCACTGCGTTGAGTTTTGGGTCGTAGCCCCACTCTCCATCCACATTGTCACTGCAAAAGGCGCTTCTAATCGGGATGCTCATGTATCTGATCAGCGCTGTTTTAGTGCTACCACGTCGCTGCGTTCGACTGGACTTCATTAATGAAGGAACTTTTTTGTGGGTGCATTTTTGCGTTTAACTACATTTTAGTTTAACACCTAAGGTTCTAGCAACGAGTTTGGATCACTGCACTGCGGTGATTTCACCATTCTACGCTAGGGCACGTGTTATCCGCCTACTGTGGAAAACTCAGTTCCTGTGGTTTTCGAATAGTTCCAAGCCGCTTGGTCCTCTTTGGCTTCATGTTCTCCACATAAAACTGACATCATTGTTTATGTCCACTGATTCCTGGCTTAGCTCAGAAACCTACGAATCGACGACAATGTAACGACACTTCCGTCAGCTTACAGCTAGCAGAAGTTATGACAGAACATCTGGGCAATAGCAGAGAGAAAATCTGGAACATGGCGACCAGATGTTTATTTAAATCCACTTCGCGTTCTAGGGAAAAATTTATAAACATCTGAAAGGTGCATCATTGGGATCCCCCGTATCCAGACTCATCGCGGCGATTGTTATGCAAAAATTGGAGGAGGATCTACTAATTACCAATCCGAAACTGTGGGTTCGCTACATCGATGCTACGTTTGTAATATTCAAACGTAATCAACTACCGAGTTGCACACCAACGGCTTAAGGACGCCATGGACGACATCCACTGAGCTAGGAATCTTTGAAGGATTAACGACCGCCGTTGTTTCGGGTGAGCCAATCCTCTACCCAGACACTGTACAGAACAGACTACGTTAATATTGAGAAAATGCAGCGAGTAGAGATGCCTATGTGTAGCTACATCTGATATCTTTTAAGCAAATCGACCTATTGTAATGGTGATTATTCTCGGAGTCTCAAGTTGGCAAACTGCGAATCCAGGAGTTCCTTAAATCCCGGCACCGATTTTCTTCGACTATGTTTACAGGCAGGTTGTTCCAAGTATTTACCACCCTCCGCTCGAAGCATAGTTAATGAGCGACCGGCTTCAAATCCCATACGACAAGCTTCTATCCCTGTCATCGTGTGCTGCTTGGTGTGCGCACATGAAGCAGCGGCCTCAAGGTGGGGTAATCACCCACATGTTATATCCGGTGCGTCTTGATGAGGTCAACCCGCATTCGGCGATAAGACAGGGTGTACAACCCTAGTCTCATGCACCGGTCTTCATATGGCACGCCTCGTAAACCGGGGGTGAGGCTTGTGGCCACGTGCTGTACCCGCCCAATCCTTTGCACCTCGCCCCTGGTGAGCGGACAGTAGGCAGGTGAGCTGTACTCTAACATTGATCTGATGACAGAAGAGAAGAGACGGATGGCAACCTCTTCGGATTAAGTGCAGAAGCTGCCTTTGAATGCCCAGAGCATGCACAGTCCGTCTTGGCAAGTCCTGTTCGTGTTTTCAACGGATTTCAAATCGCAGTATGAGAGTTCGCCGAGATCTTTCACGGATGATGATGGGTGTAGCTGTTGGTCGGCCAGATTGTAGCCTCGGCCATTACCACCCTTGACCGGGTTGATCAGAAGATTGACCTTTGCTGACCATATGGGGAGGTGGTCAAGGTCACGCTGGAGCAGGTCGCAGTCGTCGGGCGCCTCAATTACCCTCCATATCTTAAGGTCATCTGCAAATAACGCGCGCAACTAGGATCAGATTCTAAGCTTTAACAACCACCACCATAGATGTCACAAAATAAACTACGTACAGAGGCTGTTCCGCAGAACAACAACTCGCTGCAGTGCGAAACGAGCAGAAGAGAGGCACCTATTCAAGTTGTTCGAACGCAATGAATATCCACGCAGTTTCCTTCGAAGATGTTTAACCAATAAGTCTACAAAAACCGAGCCTACCTTAGTATCAACGGAACGGGTCATTCCACCGGACATAAAAAGCCCATCTGGAATGACTGTCACATTGTTCTAACAGCATTATATTGTCCTTAAAATGACTGGATTGTTCATGGGTTCAAGTGTTCGCCGAGCTTCGTAATTGGTACGCATACCGATTGCGAAACTCGACGAATGCTTGGACCCAGAATCATATTATATTATTCCATAAACCAATTGCCACTCCGAGGAAAACATGAAGATCAAAAGGGGAACGAGAGTCGCAAGAATTGTGGAATGTCGTACATGAAATAAATTGCAGATCACGCCAGAGAAAGCTGTCAACAAGGATACGGAAACACAAAATAATAATTATGCAACTCCCTGGTTTCAGCACACGTGGCTGAAAAAGGACACAGCTTCGACAAGCTTGTCACGTAATCTTGCGGCGCAGGTTCGAGTCTGCGTAGGGATGGGCGTCCTCTCGGTATACTCGGTCCGCGTGCGACTATTGGTGGTCACACGGTAGCGAAGCGCCGTTACGCCGTACAACTGACATATTTTTATTATTACTCGAGAGTTTCTCCAAGCCTGCTTCTCAACCACTCATTCAATATATATATATATATATATATATATATATATATATATATATATATAATATCGATATTCATCCAATATATCAACCGCTGTGTCATAGAGCTCAGAAAGATTAACAACCCTTGTTCGAAAGAACCCATTCCACCACCCAGACAATGAACTGAACAGACAGTGAACCCAAACTCCTTGCCTACGCCCATTTCACCGATACAATCGCATGATTCCCAACCACATCACAACAATATTTCGTGCAGCCAATGGCAATAACCCCATCATAACTGTAGAACGCCATGAATTACCAGTCAGGGCAAGTGCAACTTACTCGCCTCATACATCTGTATAAGGGACGGAATAGCAGCGACTGACAGTATCCACCTTTGGTTTTGCTTTCCACCACCTCCCGCTACATGACCGGTATCACTACTGCATTGATACTGTCACACCGAGTGGTGGAGAAGCGCCTGCAGTCAAGTTGCCCAGCTCGGCGAACACTACAACAACTGAACAAACCTCCCGTGCTACCAGTATTTCAAGTAATTTAACGCGATACTGCAACCCGTGCGTAAGCGTTTAAAGTAGCAAGACGGCAGTCTACTGGTGATCTGTAGTTATGAAGGGAGAGCTTACTGTCCATCAGAGTTCCTGCGGCGCATTACTAAATTTGGCTCGTTACGCTTTTCGACTCGCTACAGAATCTGCTGCGATTGTATGTATATCCTGGTCACCTTTTTCTCTTCTGCTTGTTTATTTCGCTTATCCCTTCGACAGCGCGAGTGAAGCATGCGTCACTACATCGTGCCTCTTGTATTGTTTTCGCGTTTTATCTGTACCGTCTTGTATACTTTGTTCCTTGCGTTTGTTTCATAATGTCAGCATTATTTTTGGGTTACACCGCCTCACACCGTGGTGTCTTGCCGGATAACCTTGTAACGGCTTTGTACTGACCTCGTCGCGTTAGCTTAGACGAAAGTTACGCGTACTCTGAGCACGGCCACTATTCGCGCGCGTATTCGGATGACGGGCTGAGGCCTCGGAAACAGACAAAGATACGCACCTGACCGGGGGGCTAGACGTGCGCGACCTAGGCGCACACGAAACACGGGTAGAGCGTCGCACACAATCACCTAACCAAGCGATTCCTAACCACTCGCAAGACAAGAGACGACGAAGCGAATCTCTGGGAGTTCTTTTACGACCCACACAGGCCGAATCACATTTAGCACAATGCTCCATTTTTGTGGGTGAAATGAATCACCACGTAAGAACATTGTTCATTTTAGCCCAGTTGTGCTCCTACTCCGAGTGGCTGGATCCTGCCACGTCGTGGGGAGGAATTGAACTCTGCGTTTCGCAGCCCACGCGCTTGATTATTGTGGCACATTTTTGCGTGGTTACTTGACGTGTCCACAACAAACCTCTTCATGGTATCAGCAGGTGATTCGGAGTTGCCTCGCTCCAACGAATGGCTCAGCAGCAGTGTTCCGGGATCTATTTGCTGTTCGCCTATCAAGCGTTCTTCCTACGGTAAGCCACAAATGTCGGTTTAACGTGTGACATGGTGGATGTGACTCGTTACTAAATCAACTCAGTGCCCCTTGCTTCACTTCGGTGGAACATTATGTTCCAGCAGCCTTTTGATGGAATCATGAGGAGGATTGGACCCCAGTTTGGCAACGGACCAAACTGAAGGCGTATGAACTGCATACTCGGTCACCTGCTCCTAAGGATGTACTTCCTTGACTTCGCTCCGTTTCCTTGTGGGTAGGCTATTCAGCCCCCTGACAAAACCATGAACTTCTCTAAATCGTTTTTTTGCCATAACTGCATCCCCTTATTTTCCATGGTTTTTCATTCGATATATATTGTTAAATATACATACGCCTATATCCTGAACAGGCCGGGGAGGGCACACACGAGTTTCGCACGGTGTTCACTCATAGATCGCTTTAAAATGACAGCTACCATTGTATGTTTAGCAATGCAGTGTCAGCTGTTTCTGCGATCGTATCATACTCGCGCACCTTAGGAACACCGACTCCATTCTTTCTAGGTTTTCCTCCACTGCTCTTGCAAACTAGTTACGTTCGACTTCAACTGAACCGTTTGCTCATCCTGTTCACCGCTTGCTGGCGCTTCGACTACACTTCATGTGTCGTCCAGTATCAGAACGATTCTAAGTTTCGTGCTCTCGTGTATTTTTGCCCCGTGCCTTCTCCATCAAAACTTGACTCGATAGATTAACAACATATCACGCGTCGTTGTCACATGCACCACTTTGTCATGTACTGTTGTTGCGAATGTGTGTTCGATCGATGGCGACACACGAACGCATGTGTCCATTCGCAGTGCACTGTTGTGACAGCTTTAGTAGAGGTGCAGGTCAAATCACGCTGGTGTATCGTTTTTTAAGTGGATCATTGCTACCAAATCCATTCAGACCTCTAGCACACATGCAAGAAAATGCTAGACGGTCCTTTCGTCCTATCGGGACTCTTCATTAACGTACATCCGCCGAGTCCGAAGCCATGACCTTACTATTACATGTTAGCAACTTATGCCACTGGTTCGTGGGTGACGGCGCCGGACCGCCTTGACTGATTTCTCATCCCCCAATGTCAAACATGTTATAAACATGCAGAGAGTTGGCCCCCAAAGCATTGTTTCACTTCTCAACACTTCCACTTCTCAACATAAAAATTTAAACCTTGTTGTTCCCTACCCAATCCCTGTATTTATTCTCTGAACCGTCACGTATGTCTGGCTTGATATGATCATAATTTCAATAAGCCGAAACTAAAAGCTAGCAAACTTGCATGCGCGCTAAGCGAGCGCAAAAATTTACGCACCGCCACCTGCGTCACCAGGCCATCCGGCGCGGGACGAATTTCCTGCTCCCAGCACAGTAGATTCAGGGAGATCGCAGGGGTACGAAATTGAAGGTGTTCTTTTTTAATCTCACACCTCGCCGTTGTGAGTCATTCTCTCTACTATCAAAACGAGGCCCTGGTCTATATCACATTTTCTCAGTCGTAACAAGCACTTTGCAGAGGTTTGTCTTCTTTCTTTCTTTCGCGCGGTACTATGGGGGTGTGTGTCAGTCATTCGGCATTGTCATTGTGCGTCAGTCAATTAGTCGACAGGGGTGTGCAACTAAGTATCCAGAGGTGTTGCAATCCATTCGTCCGTCTACCCTACGAGGGGAACACAGTTCTCGAGAGCAATTTACGCATCGATTAGAATTACCTACGAGACTGGACCTTAGTGTGGTGCGATGGTTTGCTTACTCCCGTGAGCCATTGTGCTATGCTGGGTGGCACTTTCCAAGTGGCTTTAGAGCCACTCATACCAGACAGAGTTCAAGGGTTAAGGGTCAAACTAACTCAATCTCACAATCCAATTCTCTTCGGAGGTTGGGTAGAGGTCGATGGTCTCCTTCCTTCAAAACCTAGCCATTGTAGACAACAGGTTTGTGGGTTATAAGCTTCCAGCCCGATTGGCGAAGAGCATTGTCTCCGAGGCGGGGAGGGCACATTCCCGTGCCCATTGACTTGCTACTGCCCGCCTCAAGCCAGGCAACCTCTGGTCAAATTGATGCAAACCCGCCCACCTGAGCATGATCGTGGTTGCAGCTGCATAATATACTACGGTCGTAAAACATATGTGCATTGTTCAAATTCCTCATGTGTTTGACAGGCTTTACGCAGATTCCAATGAGTCTCTGCAATCACACTCCCTAGCTGGACTTGCTCCCCACCCTCAAGTGATCCTCCATATCCCTCACTGTTTTGTGGATCAGACTGTTGAATCGAACAAAACCCATCGGAATGGGTAGCCTGGGTGTGTCATCTGCCCTCACGACTACGTCGACAATTCTTCTTCTTCTTCTTTTTCTTCTGGTTTTCTCTCCTTTCCCCTATCCTCTTCCCCGTCTGTTGAGCAAGAGACTGCCGCTTACTTCGCAGCTGCTGGCATCAATACATGTAGATCGTCCATCAAGCCTAGAGTTCCATTTCACGTTGGTTCTTTTAACGTCCATACTCTAGGTCAGATCGACCAGCTGGCAACACTGACTCTCAGTCTTTACTCTCTTGGTATTGATGTGTTATGTGTCTCCGAAACATGCATACAAGATAACAGCGTCCTGCCGTATTTTCTACTCCCTGGTTCTGAATCTGACGACGATGGCTACACTCTTCGCATCTCTGGCGATACCGAGTTATTGACTCAAGGCATTTACGGTGTTGGTATTGCCCTCAGCAAACGTGCTGTAGTCCATCTGCTCGACTGGATATCGGTGAACTATTGCATGTGCGCGGTTGGACTCCGAACTTCTATTGGAGTTAAAGAACAGCGTCTAAAGCCAATTAACCTTTTCACCGCCTCATTTTATACCCCTACTGACTGCAGTTCGTAGGGTATCAAAGCCTTTCTGTCGACAGCTCTCATCTCTTCTCCATATGGCGAAAATAGCGACATCGTAATTGTTGCTGATGACTTGGATGTCCAAGCTGGTCGTCTTTCATACTCTGAACAACACCTGGGCGACCGCTTTGAAGTCGATGCACGCCGAACAGACAATGAGGATCAAATCCTGCAACTGTGCGCTGACCACAACCTTTACGTTAGCAGCGCTGCATTCAAGCACAAACGTTCACACCGCGTCACCTGGCGCCCACCGAATTCCACTATGTCCTGGACTCAAATTGACCATATTGCCACTAGCTACAAGTGGCGCACATCAGTTCTAGACTGTCGGTCGATTTAGAGCATGTGCCTAGATTCCGACCATGCTCTAGTGCACGTACGCTTGGCGCTCACTCTTCCTGCTCCAAAGAGGCGGCCATCTTCTAACCTTCTTACGTCTAATTTGAACTCCCATTCTGCGGTTCGACAGTATCACGATGAATTTGCCCACCAATTGTCAGTGGTGAATTAGGTTGGTGAACTGAACGCTGACTGGGATCGTCTCAAGTGTGCCATGAAGATTGCCTTTGACGCATGCTGTGTATCCAACTTGAGGCGTCGTAACTGAGAATGAGTATCTGAGGCATCGATCAACTTGATGAAGGCATGGAAACAACTCCCAGTGGACACTGTTTTTCAGCGTGTCCGTAACTCTCTGAGACGACACATCGCAATTAGTCTTCGAATCGACCGGGAACGTTAGTGAATGGCAAGGGCCCGTGAGTTGGCGAAAGCCATCTGTTACCGAGACGGGCAGCTGATCCATTCTCAGCGTCGTCGACTGGCACCTTGGACGGAACATTTTGAAGGGCAGTTCAGAAGGCGTGCTGCGATATTACTGCTTGCCGAATCGCCTGAGTCATCGTGGGAAGCAGATGTCACCCCTCTCACTTTGGAAGAGATTCGATATGAGCTTTCGTGTTGATTCGTGACAAGGCTTCTGGGCCCGACGACCTTCACCCATGTTTGCTAAAAGATGGTGGTGACCTTTTGTTGACTGGACACGCTACTCTGTTTAACAGGATTCGGGACACTGAAGAAGTGTCTTCAGACTGGCAACTATCGTGCCCATCTTTAAGAAGGGTCGGCGTACTTTGTGTGAAAATCATCGAGACATCAGCCTTGTTTCCATTGCATCCAAGTTTCTCACAGGTAGCATTCTCCGACAACCTACTGCTCCCCGTGAGAACCGGTTTACTGAAAGTCAGGCTGGTTTCCTTCCTGACTGTGGTTGTATCGACCACTTATTTACTGTTCGCCGTGCGTTAGGGCAGCGACACACACAGACGACCGACTATGGCCCTTTTCCTTGGCTGGAAAGCTGCTTCCGACTCTGTCGACCGCAGTATTACAAGACTGGACCGACACACCGGTTATAGCTATCACCGAACAGCCACTGGAAGTGGTGGATCCATTCACTTGCTAGCTGTATCATCTTTGGTGATCACATCACTGAGAACTTACTTCGCGTATCAGCAAGACCCGTGTGGCTTTCCAGAAATTCAACCATCTATGAAAACGGCGGGATATCATCCTGTCGTGAAAGATCGGGTATATAATGCGGCGGTAAGGCTGGTGTTGCTATATGGATCAGACATCTTGCCAGTTCGCGGCGAAGACATTAAACGCTTAGCCGTGTTTGACTACCGGGGCTTGCGGAGTATTGCTCACATCTGTTGGGAACACCAGATGAGCAATGCTGAGGTCTGCCAGTTGGTTTTTGGCAAGAAGCCATCTGGTGCCTCACTCGGGTGTTTACTGAATTTTAGCCGCTTGCGTTGGCTAGGTCATGTTCTCCATATGCTCCTTGACCGACTTCTTCGGTTTGCATTATACACCGTGGCTGCACCAAGTTGGGTGAAGCCGCGACATGGCCACTCCATGCCGTAGCATAGTGGCATGAGGCAATTGACAAAGCTTTGGTCAGGCTGATGCGTGCCGTCTTCGTGGGTTGGGGCCTCAGAATGGTCCACACCATTGGTTAGAGACAATAGCAGACATGGCGCAGTCACGCAGTCAGTGGCGTTCCTGCATTCACTTTCTTGCATCTGGTTGTTAACTCCCGTTCAATTCGGATCAGTTTAACTCCATTTTTCCATTTTTTAACATTCTTTTTGCATTTAGCCCCACTATTTTGCAGTTTTTATTTATTGTTATTCTTACCATGTCAGTCGTGGCAACTGGATCCACAGCATTTCAGTGCTCGGATCATAGTTGATCAACTGAATTGAACAACTGAACTGCACGCGACTTTTGGTCGTCACGCGGTAACACATCGTTGGTACGACCTGCCAGAGTACGGATTATTTTTCATCAGTATTTGACTAACCCACAGCATCCCTCGTTTGCTTTTATTCCGTCGTGACAACTGTTTACTCAGCTTAGTGAACCTGATCACTTAGGTATCCAAGTGTCTCATTGCTCATGGGTGCTGATGGTTAAGCGGTGGTTCAAACATCATCTGATAATCTCACCTTATCATTGTTTCTACCGCCGCCCTGTTCCACAGAAATCTGGCAATGAGAACAATACCCAGGCCTCCGTCCAAGATGCAACCGGCCCTCCGGAGTTGACTAACTCGAAGCAAGAGGAGTTTCTGAGCGCACTATCTAAAAGTCTTGAATTCTTTGTGAACCGTATGCAAAGTGATAGTCAGCGTGACCGAAGCATTGCCAATGACACAACCGTACAAGCTTTGTTTCTCACACTGCACGAAATGCACCCTGAGCTGCTGCGCCAAAAGAAATCGATGGAAGAAAGACGAGGTGAGCGACTTGTTCTGCTTGCTATGACTGGGCTCACGATTAGCGTCTTTAATCAGAACTGGCAATAGGCAATTGTCCGATATCGGGGTATTTCCGCATAGCGGTAAACTTGGATGCATAGCCTACGCTATGTCGCAGGCGTCCTACGTTTAAACCCGAAGCCTTTCAGAGGTAGTGCTCACATGTGGCTAGCTTACTATCAATACTTCTTGCTTGTTCATCCCACGTATAAGCTGTACCACGTCCACCGTTTTCATACATATCTTTTACTCGGTATCGAACACTCGCCCCCGCTCAATTTTAGATGACGCAATTATTTTTGCATACATGCATAAAAGTTACACCGCCTATCTCAGGCAGGCTAATTAGTACAGCTCAGAATATATATATATATATATATATATATATATATATATATATATATATATATATATATATATATATATATATATATATTGATCACAATCTCTGTACAGCGGTTGTGCCATCGGGACCATGATGTAATAGAAAAACAGGGTTAGAGTAAAAGAACAAAGAAAACAAACGATTTGTTCATTTTTCCATTCACAGTTTTTGATGTTTTTGGGGGGGACAGGGAAGGGAATCACCTCAACAAACAGAATTACACGCCCGCCACTGAGTTCGGTTTCGAGCCAGAATTTCCAATGTTTCCAATCGACTGCACTCAGCATCTTTAGGACCCCATCCAGCAAGTCCTCAGCTCTTTCATCCTGCTTCTCCAAGTTGTAGGCTGTCCACCACCCCACCTCCTCCAACCCTGTCCAGCGACCGCGAACAAGGCACGACGCGGAAGACGCTGAGCTGGCATACGCAGTACGTGCTTGAGCCATCGTAGTTTGCGCAGCGAGACAGGCGCCTCGAGGGAGTGGCTGTCTCCACTCAGGACACTGTCTGACTTCAGCGTTGCTTAGGTGGTTCAGGCACCACACACGGGCGGTGGATTGCAAGCAACGGTTCTCGAAGACAGACAGTCGACGTAAGTCATTGGCACGAGTAGGCCAATTCTCACAACGGTACAACAGTACAGCGTGGCAAGTAGCACTAACAACCCGTCCCTTGATGGAGAGACGGATGTCATGGCAGTGCCATAAATGCCTCAGCCTGGAGAAAGCGAGACGAGCTCTTTTGATACGCATCGGAATTTCGTTTCCAACAGCCTCACCAGCAGTTATGCAGCTTCCCAGGTAGACAAAACTCTGTAATACTTCTAAGGTTTCCCATCGATGGTGAGTGAAGGTAGAGACGTCAGCCTGTCTTGAAAAAGCGCTTTGCACTTGGATGGTGGAAAGTGCACGTCAAACTTCGACGCTTCAATCGCCAGGCGGTTAAGTACAAGTTGGATAGCCTGCGGACGGTTAGTCAACAAGACGATATCATCAGCGTAATCCAAACCAACCACACGGCTACCTAGAAGGAGCTCAACGTCAGCGTTCAACAAGTTTTTTAGAGCATTTTTGAGGACATCCTCAATAGCAAAGTTGAAGAGGAATAGAGAGATTGGGCATCCTTCTCGAACCCCACTGGTGACAACAAAAATGGCGAAAGCTTACCATAAGCCCTAACTCCGTCCGAGGTCAGGCTATACAGAGCATGCAGAATGGAAACGAACTTTCCTGGAATACCATTCCTCAACAGACAGTGCCACAATGCAGCCCTGTCGCCAGAATTGAAGGCAGCACAGATATCCAGAAACACAATCGTTGGCTTCTGATGCACATGGCTGAGCTCGAGAATCTGGCGGAGTGTGAAAATCTGATCGATGCAGCCGCTACCAGGGCGGAACCTAGCCTGTTCTTCTCGCTATAGTGATTCACGCGTTGGGGTTGGCTTGCGAAGAATGATGGACACCAGAATCTTGCAAACGACGGCTCGTAATTGGGGCAATTTGTGTGCACGCTCTTTTTGAAGATGGGGATGACTACCGACCCACTCCAGGATGATAGAACCTCCTCTTTTGCCCAGACTTCTGAGAACAAAGCGGTGAGTCCTAGAACCAGCGAAGAGCGCCCATCTTTAATTAGAGCAAGAGGTAAAGAATCAGACCGGGTGCCTTATAACGCTTTAGGCAGCAGAGTTCCCGCCAGATTTCCTGGTGAGAGGGAGGGTCAGTTAGGCTAGTCCACTCATCACCATTGGGCGCCCCAGGGTAAACATATGGAGCTGACAGCCAGGAAAACTACGAGCGAAAATGTTCGGCCCATCGCTTTAACCGTCGTTGAAGCTTAGTGATTTACGAGCCATCATCTTCGCAGATTGTTTCGCTTACTTCTAATCAGAAACCTTCGGTGACTCGGATGAAGTGGAACAGTTTTCTGATATTACCAGAGAGATTAGCAAGTCCAAGATCTCTAGCATGTTCACACCACCAGGTCTCACGGTCCTTCTGTAAGCTCCTACGCAATAAGAAATAATAAATACGAATACATTTCATGAAATATTTAGGTGACAGTAGCACAAACTTTATCCCACGAAGTCTGACCTATTTTAGATGCTCGACGTTACCCACAGTTGAAATCAATATCGATCAACCCGAGCTGCAAGTGCAACAAGTCATTTTAAACAATTATGAGCGCGAAACACTCCGAACTGCTGGCCGCTGTGAGGATTTCGCCTGCTGACCTGTCTCCACCCCGCACCAGGTAACTTTTCTTCATAACTGCTTACGAAATGATGCTCTGCCCAGTAGCGTCAGCTATAGGCCTCCCATCAACCACCCACGAGCATGGACAGTTGCACGACAATTTAGGAACTACATGGTACGGATTATGATCACGGACGCCTACAACCGTATTGAGAAATATTGGCGATTCATCAGCTAACATCGAACTATTTCTCTGAAAGTTATGGGACAACAGTTAACGGAACAGCTCAGCTTAGAAATAGGACATAGAATGGAGAATACTAGGATGAGAAAAGCATAGGTATTATAGAAAGTTTTTGAAATTGACTCGCGATAAATGCCAAGCTACCCACGAAGACTGGATCTGAAATTTATCCTCAGGCCACCTGCAGAAAAACAAGTCCTCACCAAAGGGCTCAATTGCAATTTCAATGATGCTTTAACTACCGGATTTCTGGCCGTATTCGAAAGCTCAATCCAGTCCAGTGGGTTTGATGATGAGATGCAGAAACAACTAAGGAATACACTTATTATAGTTGTAACGTAACAAACAACACAATTCTCTATCTCAGTAGGAGAAGCATACAATAAAAGCCATGAAAGCCGAATACTCCATTGTCATTTTATCTGCGGACTATAGTCGCGTGACGATGATATTGGATAAGGCGGACTATGTTGAAAAGACGAAACAGCTTCTGAGCGACACAACAACCTACCGCCGCATCGAAAACAATCCAACAACGCAACTGACATACAGAATAAACAGGACGTTGAAACTGCTTCAGTAACGGAACAATATCACAAAGGAAGAATGTGACGGAATGATGGCCCGTGGTCCGAACGTGGCACAGTTCTACGGGTTGCCAAAAATACAGATGCACTGCCAAGACAAATCGTATCGCTCCCAGGCACACCCAAGTACAACCTGTCGAGAGAGTTGTGCCCTTTCATGCACCCAACAATTGGATCACAGCACTACATACATAGTGCACAGCCATTTATGGAGAACCTCAAAGGTATGCGGGTGGATCATGACGAAATAATGGTATCGTTTGACTTGACTACGTCTGTCAGCTTACAAACCGCAAAACAAGTGATCACCGAACGGCTGGACCAAAGCGAGAAAGTAATCGGAAGGCTGGCGACGGAGAATCTGTTCAAGCTGCTTAACCTACCACGCGACTTACTTCGATTTTGATAGTCAGATCTATGAGCAGGTGAAAGGAGCACCGATAGGATCCCCTGTGTCAGGGCTCTGCAGAAATAGTAATGCAGAAACTTGAAGAGAATGCGCTGTCCATAATCATCCCAAAGTTGTGGATCCAATACATCGATGATGCATTCGGGATACTGAAACGTAATCAATTAGAGGCCGCATAGCAGTTGCTCACCAACACCATTGAAGACATTGATTTTATGGTAAAATAGATGGATACCAGCTCCCATTCTTAGATGTGTTGGTCATCAGGACCATTGACGGAGAGTTGCATTCGTCGGTTTACAGCAAAGGAACACACACCGACCAGATTCTAAACTACCACAGCAATCACCCGAAATGTCACAAAAGAAGCTGCATGCGAACTCTATTTCGTAGAATTGAAACACATTGCAACACTATTGAGGCAAAGCGGAAAGAAGATATATCTGTCCAGATCATTTCACCTAAATGGATATCCACATAGTTTCATCCGGCGATGTTTCAACAACAAAGCTACGACCTCAGCATGCTCAAACGACAACAAAAAGAGTTGTTCTACCTTATGTAAAAACATCGAGATGACAGCAACATTATTTGCACTGCACAGTCTTACAGTGTCTCACAAAGCAACTACCACTTTGAGGAGAACCCTGTCGAAACCCAAAGTTAGATCTGGAGCCCACGAAAGACGAACTGTTGCTTACAAGATGCGGTGTCAATATTGCGACAAGAACTATGTGGGTCAAACAGGAAGGCGGCTGTCCACAAGAATATAAGGGCATAAGAGCGCTTGTAAGAACCACCACGCTCTCTCCCTGGTTCCATTACACACGGACGAAGAAGGACACCGCTTCGATTGGAACAACACATAGAGGTCTTAGCACAAGGAGAATCACGAAAAGTAGGAGTTCCTCGGAGCATGCTACTCCACGAAGCACTCGATAAGCATGCACATCGACATTCACCCAGTTTAACAAATGTTAAGATGGTGGGTACTAAAACAGCTTAAAAACCGTCGTGGGCAGTCAAACGACCCATCAACAACTCAATAGCCAGACCAAAACCATCACACTGACTGCCGTGTCTATCAGAGAACTTGAGCAGACGGGTGAAGGTCACGGGGCACAGATCGAGGAGGTCAATTCGAAAGTTACTTGTTGGTCGATCACAACTCGACGACTAAATCAGCGGATTGCAGTTGACTCAGTAGCGCACTGCGGAATTCACCTCATTTGATGATGAAACGTATGCAAACCAATTACGAAGCTCGGCGAACAGGTGAAACCAGGAACGATCAACCCGAGCTACCAGGGTATCAAGTTATCTGAAATTCACTGAGGTGTCATACAGTATACTGCTGACGTCAGGATATTTCACCACCAGCCTGGCAATGATACTGTAATGTATCAAAAATTATGCAATAAACTGCATTATGTGTGCACAATGGCTTCGTGTGATGTAAATCAAAATTGCTTCATTCTCTGCTTGTTTACGATGTTGTTACAGTCCTTCTTTCTAAACCTTTACGAACACTATGAGGTATCTTCCAAAAGAGAGCCAATAAACACTTTTCATAGCCGTATTCATCTTCAGCATACAAAATTACTACATATTTATGTCAGTAACAATCTCATTATAGATCAGTGTAATCAGTCCACCTGATCATTAATTTCTCCAGCAGCGCTCAAGATATTCTCATTTGCGGCCGCAATTCACTGGACTGAGAGTTGGCAGCGGTGTTCGTTTTTGACAGCCTCCGAACTGCGTCGGAAATGATAAGCGGAAAAACAATTGAGAGGATTCGATCCCTTACAGTCATTTGCCGATTGTTACAGCTCCACCCTTGAATCCCACACATGCGGCGGTTCACTTTGGAGCTGTTTTTTTGGCACGTCTATGCAAAACTACTCTTACATCCTAGAGACGTTGAGTCAAGGATCCGGCATCGCAATCAGTTCAAATAATGTTCTTTGCTACCAGTAAAGCTTGAGCCAGGTAGCTAGGTTTTATCTCCCCTGTGCTTGCTTTTGCTTGTATATTCGGTACAGATCTGCGAACTCGCTTCGTCCTTAGACCACACAAATGAGAACTTTATGATACTCATACGAGGGGAATTGCCAATTTGGCAAGACAACCCAGTTGAACTCGATTTAGTTAGTGCCGATCATAGGTAGTTCCTCGGGAATGAACCCAATAATATCAGATTTACGATGGGACAAACGTTGAAGCAGCTACATGCACCCTGGTGACAGATTGACGGACCGCTGATATTTTCCGAATAGCAGTTGCTAGCGTCCAACACTAAACATATTCGTTACGCCAGTTTGTCTACCCTTGTTTGTCTTAATCCGTGGTCTGCTTGCACCAGCCCATTTGGTATCCAAGATGAACTTGGGCTTTCAGATGGATCGCCCTTGTGATTTGTCACTTGTTTTATGTCTTATTGATGGCTTTTGAATATTTCTTGCACATTCTGGCCGTTGTTTGTCACTCGCTCTCTTCCATTGCTTCACCACACCTGTTGTGAAAGTGGAACACAGCACTAAGCTCATCGTCTTATTCTCTCTGAGATCTAACTTACCAATAGCTTTCTATGGCAGTGCACTGTTGTTAATGCAGTAAGCTGTCTCGAAAGCACAGAATTAGTACGTACTTTTTTGGATTGAAAACTGGGTCGTAACTTTATGTTTACTCTTTCAAATGTCCCGAACCTTGTTCATATTTAGTTACGTTTTCGTTTTTTAAGTCCTTCCATTTTATATGAGCAATGGCTCCGGTATGCGTTTTGACACTTTATCTATACCTCTGAGCAACTTGCCTAGAATTTCACGGGATAAGCATTAATTTCACATATCATCCTCACGCTTTCATTTCAAGTGCTTAGCATTCAATTTTCCTTACTCTTTCACAACCTCTAACTTCACTCTTCCCGAATCACCCATGATCACCTCGATGTACGGCACAACATTTTACTTGAATTGATCACATTTTAGTTCAACCTAGGCTGTGCCATCACTTTTTAAAGTATCCATGAGCTTGATTATTCATCGGAATGTTTTGCGGAGGCTAGTTCGAACAGGATTGTGACTGGGAAGTGTGTCCTTGCCCGTTCTCTGTACCGTGAATCATTCGGCATTAACATTCATTGTATGTACTATTTGATTTCTAATGCTCCTCTCCATCCGCGCCTTATCTTTCGACGGTCTAAATTAAATAAGTGAACAAATAAAGTTTATTCTCCACAGAACAAGACATGCATATATTCGCATGAACGAGGAGGTGCGGTCATTGCCAACGCATCAAAGCGTGATCAGAGAGATTCAAAATTATTCGACCATTGCCACATGGAGAGGCAGGAATGGTACATAAAGGAAATAGGATGAAGTGATTGTTCACGAAAGATTCTGTGTGTGTTTGCGACGAATCCAGGCACTTCAGTGTGGAAGCAAATGTGGTCGGAGGGGCGAATCTTGTTCTGTAGCTCTTATGCAGATGTGAACTGAATTAGCAGAAGAATTACCCATATTCGAGGTGGGGTGGGCCGCTAATTTGCGGGAAGGTCAGCATGTTTGTGGAGTTTAGGCTATCAATGAATTGCTTGGTTTCTGAATGTTTTGCGCCAAAATACATGGTTCATAAAGGACAAGGATATTTTTGCAGAGATGTGATTCGGCTCGTGAATTTCTCAGGCACATTATGTCTTTTATGGAAATTCAAAGGAAATGCCTGGAGTGATCGTTTTTCAATCAATTCCTAACGGCCAGATGGAGGATACCCGGCCACTTCGATGCTTCTGGTTCTTTTGCCCTCATATGCAATCGCATCGGACCGATCAGTTTGCAAGTCCCTTTGGCCAGAAAAGTGCAAGCTACCCTTGCTTAGCACAACGCCTCGTTACTCATGTGCGTTAAACCATTTTTCTCCGCGTTTCTGCTAATTTAAAGTCTTTATTTCCTGCTCAACCGTGACAGCCTGGAAACTCAAGTATCACTAAACCACAGATCAGGTCCGCGGATGTTTACATCTACGCTCAAAGGCGGTTACTTTTTGAAGCTGTCATTACTACTGCCTGGTGCTGGACGAACAATTCTGCTCAAATGAACACGATTATAAACAACGGCTGCTAGCCAGTTCGCCGGTTTTTTCCGACTTGATGAAATGGCTAAAACTCGTCCATTTGTTTGCAAGCATTTTTGTTCTTTCTCGTGGCTGTAAAAATTTTGCCTTGTTCTCTTTAACGTGTTAGATCAAACTACTGAGTGAAAACGTATTCTTGATCACTGTCTACCATCATTACCTTTCTTTTTATACTTTAACATCCTAGCTCATTTTGAACGACTGCAGGATAAGTTGACCCAATTACGAGAGGCACGTGAAGCGTTGAATGCCTTACGCGAAGAACACGCTTTACGGCGACAGTTGGAGGAACAAGAGGCGGCACGTCTTCGCCAGTTACAGATGATGCAAAAGTTGGAGGAGATGCGCCAGCAAAAAAGGGTGCGTGACTTTGTTACTTTCTACGTGACATTCTCAGTATGGCGATCAGCACACCCCGCTTGACGATGTTATTATTTAGTTTATGGACTGATTGTTGAGTGTTTTCGTGACTTGTTTTGGCCCATTTTCTTAGCCGTGGTCATTGTGATGCAACTGTGCGTCTACCTCTGGTTTGGTCACGCTTCAACAGATCGAAACCTATGGTCCTATAGATACATTGTATATTCCCGCTTGTAGCGAGACATGCCTGTGACGTTCGTAAAAGTTGCTGTTTTTTCTTTGTATTGTCTGATGTTGCATAACATGTCTCTATCGGCATTGGTAGACCCCTGTGGATATGAATATGGATGGCCTAAAATTTGATATTTGACAGTATAAAAATTGGTTTTAACACAAGTATAACGTGTGTATAGATTTTCTGTGCGCACATTGTTTCATTCAAGGCTATTCAGTAGTATCGAATGTTGGTTATGGCATTCATATAATACTGGAGCAAGAGAGGTGCCTAGAAGAAGAAAAGGTAAAAATATAAGCTGCAATAAGTGTAGTATGGACATCGACGATGAAGACGGAGAATATAGATGCGTGTTTAGTTGATTTTCTCCCTTAGTTCACATTTGCTATTGGGGTTGGTATAACTGTGTAGGAGAAAGAAGCTAAAGACGGTGAGTGTAGGAGCCTTACCATTGCAATATTTGCTCTCTCTTTTAGACTGCTTTCTGGGTCATATAAGTCCTGGGCTTTTTCATATGCTTGGTCATTTGTTGTTCCATCCCAATAGGTGGATCACGTTTTGCACGGTCAAGTATTTGCTGGTTCTTTTGTGAAATTCCTGCTTTGAATTCCAAGCACGTATATCAGATGGTAATTTGTTTCAGTTTCTGGCATAACTGTTACGGAAGAACTTGGCGAGTCTGGGACTCTTCGATCTGCATTCAACTACAGAATTTTCCTTATTTCGTGTGTTGTATACCACTGATTATATTATTACCATGTTAAGGTTGGAAACAGGCATCTTGTTGTGTAGGACCTTAAAGAATGTGATTTGGTTGCACTTCATGCGCCTCAACCATAGGGATCCAAGTTTGAGTTTCCCACGTCATTCGAAATATTCTAATTTCGATGTGGTACCTAATAAGTGCTTTATGAATGTTCGTTGTACATTTTCTAATTCAATGCGGCCTCGTTTGTTTGTGCTACTGTGCATCATTGAGCAGTATTCCAGTAGGGGACGTGAAAGTGGTAAACATACGCAGAGTATAGATTAATTTAATTTGTATAAAATGTTATTTACCTTTGCAGTGACACAAACTACTTGTTCGGAGAACTTGAGCGAGCATTAGTATCTCGGCCTCAGGTCCTGAACTGTGTGGCATATGTTAATTGGCTTATCACAAATGTTCAAACCGCTAGACGTAATCTGACATTTGTACGCCATTGCGCAACACGTATCTGTCGTAAATAACATTTTTTCCATTTCTTGTCTTTCATCCGCATCTTGTAGGCCCACCATTTCACAATCAGCTTGACACAAAGGGCCGTTTGTGACGCATCGATCTCTTCAAACCTGAACTTTAACCCATGAGTTTCGCTGTGAGCACTAGTATGCTTCATCTCATTTCCATGGCCGCATTGCACCTGCCTCTATTGGGCACCTGTCCGCGAATATGTGTGTGTGCTCTTTCCGACTTAATCTTTTCTAAGCCTCATTCTCACTCGGGCAGTTGCCATAACACGACAACCTTGACTCTCTCTAACCAGTGCTGTTGTCCAAGATTTCGCGAAATTGATTTTGTTTTCACTGCTCCATGTTTACTTTCGCGCAGGACACGCTGGAGTATCGTCGTCGCTTAGCAATGGAACAGACATTGCACTACCAACAACAGTATCAACCGGAAGCACAGTCTGCAGCCTCCCGTCCAATTGACCAAATCACCGGTCTCCCCTTTATGCCACCCGTCGGCTCCTATGCTCCTCCATACACCTTTTCGGACGCAATGTACGCTAGTTTGGCGTCTACTCAGTACTCTTACCCTCCAGTCACTACTTACGGTGTCAGAGCTCCCGTCTCCGAGGCAGGCTATGCCACTCGGGATGTCGACAGTACGACATATTATCAGAACCAGCTACCGCAGACACAGCACCGTCCCTACATATACAATTACCCCCCTCAACCGACCACAGCTTTCTCACATCCTCATCCAACACCCTATACAATGCAGCGTAAGTCGTATCCTTATAGTCGTTGTCTCTGCGCAGCCTGCGCACATCGTACCACGGTCTTAAATTCCTTTATGTCTGCCGACCTTGATTTATTCATCACCTTTATGACTGCTTTTTTAACTTTGGAACTTCATTATGCATTTTATGCATTCACTGGGCGCAAACATCATGCAGATCGCGTACTCTAACTTGTCATTTTCTCTTCACTGTGAGCGCATGTGGTTGCCTCTTCGCCCTAAACACAAGCGTCGGTCTTCTTATCTCAGGGACTTCCACTGGTAGGTCGTTAAATAACACGCTTCGACCTCCGTCACCCTAGTAACTAGCGATCACAGACCACCATCAGAAGGAGCAAAGCAACTACTTGTTACTCGCCCAGTGCGCTGCGTTGGGAGAGTTGTCTCATTTTGCGTTATGTTGTGTTCTTCAAACGTTGGCGCAAAGCCTTTCACATTGCTTCAGCATGCATTCGAATTCTACGATGTGTGACCTCAGTAAGCTAAACGCGTTGGGATTTATTTGGTTGGGTTCAGTTTTGACTCGTTTTCATTTAGTTGGCCGACTCTCTGTCTTTTTTTGCAACCACTGTTTAGCTGTATTTCCGGAGTTTTGTTATCCCGGCAGCATCGGATAACCCTTATGTGATTGTAACTAAATTTCGCTTAACTATTCAACCTGTCATCAGAAATTGTGTACCGCCCTTTTCTTTGCCATATTAGTCAGGTTAGATAGCACCGGGTCGCGTACCAAGCCAATTCTATCTATGACTTAAATTTTTCCCTTCCCAGATCGGTATAAATACTACCGCGCCTCGAATTGCACTCCACCTGGGCTAGTTGTGCGCCTAAGTACATTGGCTTTACTGTTGTACGGAAGTTGGCTGTTGATCATACTATTTTTCCTTCATTTCGAAATCGTCCACTTTTCGCTTTATGTCTTGATTTTAGACTGTAGTAGTGCGCAGCCAATGCGTTATCCTTACCTCTGCACTTACGATCATCCAATATTTCGCTTCAGTCAGTTGCTTTCTATCAATAAATCACGACATTCCAACCGAATTACCTTGTTACTGTCTTTTCCATTCAAGTGAGTTTCACAATTCATCGGCTGATCCGAGCCCGTACACCCTCAATCCTTTGATTATCCAATCAATTCTGTTCTCCGACTTTAAATATCGTGTATACCTTCGGATTATTCCTCAGCCCTTATCGATGTTTTTCTTATCAAGTTGTATATACATCTTACGTTTCTCAAGCAGTCGGAATGGTTCTAATTGCACTCCGGGAAGTTATTAATGCATTCTGTCAACATCAATCAGTCTCACTTGGTCTTTTTTCGATTTCCGCTTCGGTGCATCCCTTTAAGTCTATTCAAACGACCTTTTTAAACCATACTTTTTTATCTTGGTCATAATCTGTTGATCTCCTTTCAGAGCTGGAAACTGCCCTACCTACTTATGCTGACCCAGCACAGCTATATCAACCACAGGCCCAAGGACAACCATTTCATTCCTCAAACCTTGCGCTATCCGATGCACCCAACCCGATAATGTTGCGAACACGGGAACCGCCAGCAACAGAAACTCGTGCGGCGTCGCCACCACATCAGCAACCAACCCCACAGCCACCACAGAACCCTCCAGAGGCACAGCTGATCTCCTTCGATTAATTCACCTCACTTGACTCCAGGTTGATGAACCTTCGTCTCCGCGTTGATTTCTCACTCTTTGACAGTTCTCCACCATCGTCTGGTTCCTTTATCTCATGCCTTTCGCCTGGATCATTTATTTACTTTGCGATAAACTTCTTTCAAGGTTCAATATGATTTGTTCAACCCGTTACTCTTCTGTCCGATTGTGAGATGTGGGGGCACATTTTCCACTTTCGGCTTTTTTATCGGGCCCAACAATTTTTTGTCTATGGACCTCCACCACAACGACTCCTTACCTTAACGGTATGACTTGTGTGTGCTATGCCGGCCCGGAACCACCTCTTATCCGAATTACTAGTTAGGGACTAAACGAACTTTGTCTTAACACCTTAGTATGAGTCTGGACAACTGCTCTCTTTCATAGCCTAACCATGGGTTGTAGACTCAGCTTACTCGGTCTAACACACGAACGCTATGGCGTGACGGTCCCTGACAATTGTTGCTCGGCAGGTTGTTACTACAACCCAAACCGGGCTTCCAGCTCTCCCAGTAACAAGTGATTGTACTATATGGTTAGAATTGTACAGAGGTTGTTGTTGCATTTCTTTGATGCTAAGCATGGATTCATGGAACTCAGAGCTTAAACTTTCGTGTTGTACTTGCACCCAGTTTGTCCGATCATTTCACCAGATATTTCAGGTTGAAACTTTTAAATAAAGCTACTTTTAACTCATGACCTTGTAGGCGGCACTTCGCGCGAATGCCTGTCCCTTTCGTTTCTCTGCTCGTTCCACATAACATTTCCATCATTTCTTCTTGACTGTTTAGTCCACTCATGAATTACGCCCGTGTTCAAATAAAAGTCCAATTAGCGAAGAGATCCCTTTCCAATAATTTTCATCAGGCCATTACAGTTATAAGAAAGAAAAAACAACGCAGTACGCTAATGATATCTACTACGGTCGGTATCTACTAGGACCGATTCTAGTTGATATTTTCCTGGCGAAACGAACGTGGACCTTCGCAACCGATCATCTCACCGCTTGGCCATATGTCCCTGTTTCTCTTCAACTTCGCGATTGAGGATATCTTATTAGGCGGTCTGGAAGGTCTTCATGGTTCTGGTGTAGAGCTTCTTCCATGCTACCGCGCGACTAAATTGGGATATGCTGACGATATTGACGTGCTCGGTGATGACCCACATATCATGCAGATTGTTCTAAACCGCTTGGTGTTTAAAGCTACCAAGTATGGCATGACCTTTGCCCCATCGAAATGCAAGGTCCTACTCTAGGATTGGCATCCACCTGCCTGCTTCTTGAGGGCGCGCAGCTTGAACAAGTAGATAGTTTCATCTAACTTTGGAGCTGCGTCTCTTCTGATGGCATCATTGTCAGAGAGATTTATCTCCGCATTGACAAAGCCCGATCGACTTTCCCTGGCCTCTAGCGTTGTCGTGACGTTTTACTCTCGGAAAAGGTTAGGGTCTATAATGACTATGTTCGCATGGTCCTTTTGCACGGAAGCGAGTCTTGGTAGATCCGCGCAAATGATTGACGTCGGATTTCGGCCTTTGACAACAGTTGTCTGCAGTGGATAGCTTGTATGTGATGGGAAGACCAAGTTTGCAACGACGATGTTGGACGTTGTGTTCTGGGTATTACTGGCCTCCCTGTCGATAAGCTAATATCGCTGCGCCAGCTGAGGTGGTCAGGTCAACTCTACACATGCCATGGTAGCGTTTACCACGTTGCGCTCGCGCAGGGTTGCACTGATAGAAATTGCGTAATGGTCAATCTATCACGTGACAACAAAAGTCAAGGCGCTGACTTCTAGTTTAGCTGTTGTCGATGCCGTACGTCTTCGGGGTTTGGGAGTCCGAGAGGAAGAACATCGCTGGCATGGTTGGTAATGGGGAAGAATGGAAGGTTTGCATATCATCATCATCATCATTACACGTTAGCTGGAGGTGGAAAACATCTCAGCTATTGTGCCGCAATACAAAAGACAAGAAAAGGAAAACAAACAGTGGCACGCCCGCTGAGTCTCCAGTAACGGATGGACATCGTTCCGGAGAGCTAACAGCTGGCTGCCGTAAAAGAGAGTCATATTATGCCTAACAAGTGAGATCGTGATTTTAGGGGGATGCTAAGTAGGAGGGGATGAACAAAGGAACTCACAACACAAACGCCATTGGGGTCGGCTCCAAGCCATATCAGCACGTGTGTCCAACCAAACGTGTTCACCGTCCTTAGGACCCCAGCCAGGCAGTCGGAATGCACCAACCGATGCCAACTTCGTAGTGAGGGTTTTCATTTCTCTCGACCAAGTCATCACTTGGCCCCCCTCTTCCAACCGCACCCACAATGCGCAAACAATGCACGTCGCGGAAGTCGGTGTGCTAGCATGCGCAACACGTGGCCCAGCCATCGGAGCCTGATGCGTGATATAATGGTGCTGAGCGGTTCACTCGCTCTTCCTGCACCAAATACGCGACGTCGAACACGCTCATTGCTCACGCGGTGTTCCCACCAGACATGAGCTAAGCTGCGAAGGCAGCGATGATCGAATGTGACGAGCCTCTTCATGACTGTCGACCTGATGGGCCAGGTTTCACAGCCATATAGGAGAGTTGAACGGACGGCTGCGTTGTAAACTCTGCCCTTGAGGGCGAGAGTAATGTCTCGTCTGCGCCACAGGTGGCGGGGATTGGCAAAAGCACCTCGAGCTTTTGCTATACGGTTCGTAACCTCATCTTCCATCCCGCGGGTGCTAACATAGCTGCCCAAGTACTTGAATTCCTGAACGACTTCTAGCAGATCACCACCAAGCGTTAGCACAGGGTTGGGTCCCTGTCCATCTTGGAGAAATACTTTTCATTTCGATGGAGCAAAGCGTAGCCCAAAATGACTGACAGCCAGTGCTAATCGGTCCAGTGCTATTTGGCATGTTTGGGAGCTGTCAAAGACTAGGGCAATATCGTCCGTATACTCCAAGTCAAGAAGTCGCTCACCAGGAAATAGCTCCACACCTAGGTCGTGTCGAGCGAACGCTGTTTTTAAGGTTTGCATAAGTTTGTATTGATTCTACTGATCAATATTGTGGTCACTAAACTGACAAAAATAGACAAAACGGAGTGCGAAAAATGTCTAAAAAACTATTCTTTATATACTTTCCATTTTGCAGTCATTTTACTTATTACGCAATCTTTCCGTGGTTTTCGATATCTATTCTATAGACAAGTGTTTGTCAAAACGGGTAGTAAAACACTGCCCCGGGTTGCTACGAAGAGGCATACCTAGAAGCATCAACAGCGCTACCGTGGAGCATTTGCTCCTATGCGGACACGAAATTCGGAAATCAGACGCTTTCAGCGTTCTCTAATCCGTGCCGCTATGTCATCTTAAAGCGCTCAGAAAGCGTTTGGTGAAAACGGTTGAGGCGATCGCCATCATACTCATCTAGCCCCAATTGGGCAAGCAAAATACCCTCTTGTCATCTTGGCCCCGCGGCAATTTCTCCTTGTCGGACACTGGCAACATAACATCGGCTTCGAAGCCTCCCTCCGTCGATCCAATCCACCGGTCTCGTTCAAGCAGCAGCAGCTCTCAACTTGGATTTTGGTTAGCATGCTGCGCTGCTTGTTTCTTATAACTGTAATGGCCCGAGGAGAACTATTGAAAAGAGATCTCTTCGCTAATTGGACTTTTGTTTAGTCTGCCTTTGATTTCGCAACCATGCTGGTGTTGTACCCAAATCTTTTTTCAAACCAAGGTTCTCGTTTCGCATAGTTACTGTGATTGGAGGGTTATTTTGAACCGCTCTTTCTGTAGATGGATTGCAAAGCGCAAAATTATTGTGGGCCGCGATTCGCATTGAAGCGTTCTTTGGTCAATGCGAGCACTCCATGACTGATTTCGACCTTATGTGCTTTCGTCGAGTACATATAGCGGGCCACGAACCCACGGATATTGGGGTATTGCTTGAACCCTCTATCCCTTTAGCCACCGACGGGCAATATTTTTCACGAGAGTTAACAGCTGATTGGAGCGTCATTTTTGTGCACTCGTGTGAGTGGATTGCTACGCGCAATATACTCATTCTCTGTCTATCGGCTTATCATGCAATATCAACTCCACTCCTTACCCTCCCCAAGCAGCTGTGCTGTGTTGCCAAACATACATTCATGACTGTAACATAAAACCCCTGATTGTCCTGCTCCATTGAAAATATCTGTGTGCTTTACGCTTCCAGAGATATCCAGTCCTGGGTCGGCTTAGTGTCGATGTTTCACTCTACAGGAATGAAAACAGCCTACTGTAATAAATTCCGATAGTCCAGCCTCAATGCCTCAGAGTGAATCGGCATCGTGTTGTGCGAGTTGAAAGTCTACAGAGTAGACGTAGAAGTATCCAAGCTCATGAAAATCCTAAGAGGATGGTAGGTACGGTCGTCGCAAAAAGGAAATGGAACATTTTTTCACGCCTTTATTTTCCATTTGTCATTTTCAATGCTTGTGGCACTAAATTATGTTATATCTATTCACAAGTCTGTAAACAGACAAACGTGCCATCCGAACCATGGTGGTATGGAACGGAGAGTATAATGTTCAGCGAGGAGAGACAGAGTATACATTAGAAAAAAATGAGATTTTTTTCAGTTTCACACTCCGTTTTGAGTATTATTTTTGTTTTCATGTCTTGTTCGAAATTAAAATATACATGATGGAGAGATGGTAAAACAGCATTGACGCCATTGTCTCCTATTGCGAGCCATAGCATCCAAGACTTCCAACCATTTGGTCCCTAGCCTGGAAGACGCCCAGATCCAACTGACGCTAGACATGAAGTTAGAATGTTTATGCTCCTTGTCCAGGTCATCCATTGTCCGCCGCGGCTCTTTTTCTGTTCGCACCCAGGAAGTACGGTGACCAAGCCAAGGTAAGCGGTGTTGGATGATTATGCTCTGGAGACAAGGACTATCCGCTCTCATGATTATGCTTCTAACTTCCGCTTTGCTCACATGGTGCTGCCACCATACGTGAGCAATCGAACGCAAACAACGATTGTCGAAAGTAGGCAGTCGTCACAAATTTTCAGATCGAACAGGCCAGGTTTCGCAGCCGTACAGTAGGACAACACGGACTGTGGCATTGTACATTCGGCCTTTGAGCT